ATTATTTTCCATCTTTACCTCAAGTGTTGTACTGAATGACTAGGTCTGAAAGTGATAATTACTTCCCCACTGCACAGACAAACTGATTTACATATTTATCAAAAGAAACTGGATGGCTTTGAGCATACTATGGGAACATTTGCATATTTATACCCTGAAATGTACAAAAGCTAAAATTAAGACAGGAGTATCTTGATCTTAGTTATAAGTTTGTTTTAATACAAAGGTTTTAGTCAGTGGATTTTGTAAGTGCATTAAAGTGAAGTATCTTTTCTTCATCACATAAAATCAACATAGAGATTAAAATGACTGTTAGCTTGTGAATGATGATGTGGAGAAGCTGTTTTCATAAGGTGAAAATCTTAGCCTTTGAGCCCTGAAAAGATGATTAACTGTGGCAAAACCTTAAAATGCTGTAGCAGAAAGGGGCTCCCAAGAGGTTTGCTATGTAGTAAACCTATGGGTATATATTTGAAAGACATCAATATACTTTCTGGGAGAAATATGGTATTCCAAATACTTATGCATGTAGCATTAATTTTTAGGATTTTATGCATTTATTCAAAGGCTTGCTACTCACAGAGGTGAATGCCTGGAGCTGACTACAAGTCGTGATTCTGGTTTATGATGCTATTCAAAACCAAACATGAGCAGCAGTAGCAAATTCTGAACAGCAAATAAAAGCAATAAAACCCCAACACAATCAAACTGCCTCTTCTAGGCAGTGATGTGATGGCTTATTTTCCCAGACTGATCTATTGGAATCTTTTTTCAATAATTTTCTCAATATTGATGTAAGTTTCTGGATACAAGAGAGGCATGGGAAAGTTTACTGGAGTTGGAAAATAGTGTTACATTAATAGGAATTTCCTTTACTGTCAACGGTCTTTTCCTGATACAGATCCTTAGCCCTCCTTCTGAAACATGTTTTTTCTTTGAATCCGGGAAACTGCTTTCAAGCTTTCGTCGCAGGTAGAGAGACTGGCTTTTTCTAATGCCTAGATTACACACAGGTATTCTATTACCTCTAGCTTCTTATTCACAATTTCTTCGATATTCTAAATTATTTTGAATTAATACAAATAATATTTCTTTCCCATTAACTTGAAATGACAGTAAACTTTTGAATAAAATGCATTTGTTCATATGCTTGCTTGACTAAGCACATTTCCAAATCACTAACATTTTTGTAAATGCATTATTGTTTTTCAGCGTTTGTACCTTGTTTACAAATGAAGAGTCATTTTTTATAAACCCTATCTCTTCTTGTAGATGCGTACAGTAGCAGCTTTACATGATTCAAAACTCAGTAATTATGATCATCATTAGCAAGGCTGGTTCAGCTACCATTCAGGCTGTGCTGGAGAAGTTGAAAAGCAGCATGGTGCTGTGTTTCTTTCCAAAGAACAGAGTCAATTGCTCTTCTCACTTTCACATGGCTATCACTCCACTGAAATTGGCATTTTCACATTCAGAATGAAACAATTCTTCATAATTTTACACAGCTTGAAGCAAGAATGGAGAGAGGAATACAGAGAGCACTCCTCAGTGCATTTCACAAGAAGCTTCATTTAAATTTTGGAACATTGATGTACTCATTAAAACAAGTAACATCTTAGCGCAGTCCTCAATCTGTTTTGTATCTTAAAAATATATAAACATAAGAAAAATGTCCAATGTCCTAACACCTTTGTTTGCTACAATGTTAGTCACCTACATTGCAGAACACATTCCTATAATGGCAGTGGTAGGAGTAGCTTGATCTGAAATTCTAGTTGCTAAATAGATGCAGAAATTATGGAGCTCCATCAGCTAGATTGATTTGGATATTCAGAAATGTTGTCTTTCCAAATATCTTCTGTTTGAATCAGAAAATAAATAACTGGTACCATCCACATAGATCAGTATAGCAGTTAATTTTTCATTATGTGTCTTTCAAGCAAGGTATTTTAATTTAAACTCTTTCTTGTGTTAACAGGAGTCACAACATTCAAATGTACTTAAATGTATCTCATCTCCTGGTAGCACACACTTTGCTGTTTACAGTTTTCATTCAAGTAGGTGACAGTATTCAAGATCAAAATAGAAATGGAAGGTTTGTTTGTATGTTGTGACTGCCATACTCTGACAGTACTGTTTTTTGAATTACCATTATTAGTCCATCTGTACTGAAAAACAGTACAGATGGATTAATAGTATACAGATATTGCTGCTAAGATAAATAACCATTTTAGCATTCATTAGTTAAACCTAATGTAGGCAATCCTCTGTGTTTCAAAATCCTTTTGTAGGAAATGGAAATTTTACCACTGAGTTTTACAATGGACTAGAATTTCTAAGCATTTTATATGGCTGGGTTTTTTCTAAAATTGGACATGTTTGAGTGTCAGAATTTAATATTTTTTTCAGAGCAAGCTGAGTTACTCAACCTCAATAAAAAAATCATAATGTCTTACATTTAAATTTAATATTAACTTTTAAGTTTAATTATCTGTGATAGTGAGACAATTTTAATTGCTTCTCATATCTTCCCAAATTAGTTGGGAAATCAAAGTGGTCATTATTGAATGATTAACAATGCCTTTGATCACCAGAGATCATTTAATGCTATATACTGAGTGCCATTCTCATTTTATTTTCATTTTGGTTTATATACAAGATTATTTTAAAGTTCAGTATCATCATGAACATGATGTATGTAAAAAAGAAAAAAGTTATGCATATCACTGCACATATATTTCTTTGCACAATACTATTTATTGTCATTGTATCATAAAATCATATATTGATGTAGGTTGGAAGGGAACTCTGAAGGTCATGTAGGCTGTATACCTACATATAACTTACTAATTTATCTTTGTACTCTACGTTTTTATCATCATTGGCACATTTCCAAGAGATATTGTAATCACTTAGCAATATATTCTCCAAACAGATTCAGAAGCCAATGGGAAATTGCCTCGTTCTTTTCTGGCACTAAGTCCATCCACTTCATGCAGCAAGCGCATGGCTTGTCAGATGGATCGGCATGATTTTCCCTCAGCCCACCAGCTTTAAAATGTCAGCCTTTGTAACAGATTTTCTCAGCTCTGTTGGGAAATTTCAACTCCCACAAGGCTTCAAAATTTACATAAACAAATTCTCCTACTCTTACATTTCTTCTTTGCTCCTACTTTACAAGCAAAACCAACAGGTATCTACTTAAATTTAGCAGCTGATGTTTATTCTTGATCCAGTCATTTGAAAAATTAAGACAGTCAAACATTTTAAAAATACTGTTTTAAAATGATATAGCATTAAGAGGCAACTAGAAATAGTAGCATTAAAGTAAGGTAATTACTCCTTATCCAGAAAAAGAGCATAGCAACAGAAACAGTGATCTGAAATCCATTTAGAAAGCTCTGTATTCCAAAGTTCTTATCTCATCCTCTTTGACACAATAATTGGGCATCAGATGATGAATTCATTCTTAGTGGTCAGGTTAGCAAATCAAAATTAACATTCAAATTGGACCATTCTTGGATGCTTAAGTAAAAGAATAAAGATAAAATGGTTGTGAAGACAGAATTATCTTTATATGTTCTGAGATCCCTAAAGGACAGGTTCATTGTCAAGCTGATGTGAAGAATTATATTCTTAAGCTTTGATCGTTTTCCAGGACCAATAATTTTAGGTCCTAATCAGTATAAAATTCACTGGAGCAAGTTACAAAGAGAAGCTTCGCTCTAATTCATACAGAAACACACTTTCAAGAATTCAGCCTAAATAGGTTTCAGTGTAATTTATATAACTGCAAGGCCCTCCACAGTGCCAAAGTAGTGTGAGGAGCCCTTTGTGAAAATGAAACATGAGCCCACTGTGCCTAAGAGGTACAAGACATATCCCTGTGGATGCTTCTTTTAAATGTGTGCACCTGGGTGTGTTTATTACCATGCACATTTTGAGTTTAGTTCATGTTTTTCCATATGATGAGATATAAAGGGCTAATTATTAGGTTTGATAATGAAACCACACATACTTTAAAGGTGCTACATGCATTCTCTTACTTTTATTTTTTTTTTTTTTGTCTTACTCTAACATTCGCACTGAGATTTTTGCCATGCTGTCTCTATAGGTTGCTAGGCAGCAAGGCTGTACCCCCAAACTGTGAGATCTGCTCTGCATGCTGACTCTTTCCTCAGTGTTACTAAATATCCTTAATGTCTGGAATCTTCTTGCTAAATGGATTTCCTTGACTGAGAGTAACTGCTTCCAAAAGTCACCTGCTCTCTGTGGATTAGCCCTTCTCTCTGACGTGTACAAATCCCGTCACACTGTTCTTCAAGAAACCCTGCAGCAACTGAGTCGTGGTCCCAATTGCTACCAGGCCTGTGTGGTTGGTCCCTACTGTGTGCTGCATATGCTAATTGCTGAATATAAGAGAGCTTATGTGAAAAGTGGGCTCAAAAAGGCATAAAGACACACATATTTCTATGTGGCAAGGCTAATGGAAAGTCATCTAAAGTTCCCAGCATCCAGAGGAGGGCAACCAGGCTGGTGAGGGGCTTGGAACACAAGCCCTGTGAAGACCAGCTGAGGGAGCTGGGGATGTTTAGCCTGTAAAACAGGAGACTCAGGGGTGACCTTATCACTGTCTACAACTTCCAGAATGGTGGCTGTAGTCAGGTGGAGTTGGTCTCTTTTTCCAGGCAACAGCTGTCAGAACAAGGGGACACAGTTTTAAGTTGTGCCAGGGCAAGTCTAGGTTAGCCATCAGAAAAAAATTTTTCAGTCACCATCCACATAGTCACCATCCTTGGACATGTTTAAAAAACAGATTGGACATGGTACTCAGTGCCATGGTTTAATTGATGAGGAAGTGTTAGTTTAGGTAATAGGTTGAATTTGATGATCCCAAAGGTCTTTTCCAGCCTAGTTCATTCTGTGATTCTTAAACCTGTTCTTTGCTTCGTTTTTTTTGGGGGGTTTTTTTTTTGTTTTTTTTTTTTTTTTTTACTTAGGGCAAGTTCTGGATGTGCTGGAAAAGCATAATCTGAGTGACAAAAGTCTTGTATACTTTACATCTGACCAAGGGGCTCATGTTGAAGAAATCTCCAGTGCTGGAGAAGTCCATGGAGGATACAATGGCATATATAAAGGTGAATATTCTCTGATTGTTCTTGAAAAATGTAAGAAAAAGCATCTCCTTGGGTTTGCACCAAAACTGTAATGTAGTATATGGCCAAGGTCAAAATCTTTCATCTATTCAAAATAAAGTAAGAATGTCTGTTTTTATTCTTTTTAATGAAATGCCAGTAGTCTTATTGTTTCTTTATGAGTGATTAATTTATTTTCATTCTTTCACTAGGTAGAGGCTGTGTAATTTGTTTTCCACTCATATTTCAGGGGTCAAGATCAAAGAAATCCAGCAATCTCGTAGTTGAACCTGAAGGCATGTCCCAAGGTCTGCAGTCCCAGCCCCTGCAGAGCAGGGGTCAACTATAACATATTGCTCAGGATTGTATCTAGTCAAGTTATGAAAATCTCCAGTTGTGGAAACTTCATAGCCTCCTTGGGCAACTTTCTCTAGTGTTGGATCACACTCGCCATAAAAAATAACACCTTTTCTTATGTTTAAATGGAGTTTTGTGTGGTTTAGTTTGTGCCCATTGCCTCTTGTCCTGTCAGTGGCCACCCACTGAAAGGAGTCTAGCTCTGTCCTCTTTACGCATATAAATCCATGTAATCCCTACAAATGGATAAAATCCTGGTAAGCATTTTCCTCTCCAGGATGAACATTTCTCTCAGCCTTTCCTCATATATTGAATGCTCCAATCGCTTAATCATTCATCACCTTCGTTCAAATTCATTCCAGTATGCCCATGAACCTTGTACTGGGGAGTTCTGCACTTGAACCCAGTGCTCCAGGTATGTCTCAGCAGTGCTGAGCAGAGAGCAGGACTGCCCCAAAGTGTTCTTCCTACTGCAGTGCAGAGTGATGCTGTCCTTCCTTGCCAGAGGGGCACATTGCAGTCTCATGTTCAGCTGATTGCTCATTAGAACCCTCCAGTCCCTCTCTGCAGAGCTGCTTTCCAGCCAGCTACTCCCCAGCCTTTGCTTTGCTAGAGGTTGCTGCTGTGAAGATTCAGGACTTCATATTTCCTTTGCTAAACTTAATGGGATTCCTTTTGGCCCATTTCTCCAAGCCTATCAAAGTCCCTTTGAAATGTAACACAATCTTCTACTCTTGCAAGATTTGTATCACCTGCAAAACTTTCAAAAGGAAAAAATTCAGGCATCTAGAGAAAGCAATAACCATACAGAGAGGTTTTCAAACAAGAGGACCCCAGAGTTTTTACTCAGTAGGTATCTGTCTGAGAAATGACCCCTACATTTTAAGAGAGCTTCAAAGAAAATGCTACACAAGAAAAACAAGGAATGCCAAAGTGATGAGGTCTATCAGATGGGTCCCCTTGGGCTAACACCAGAGTGAAATATATCTTGAACATTAGCACATAGGTCTTGCATAGTGATTTAAGTAATTAAGGAACCATATGGTTACATATCTGTAGCCGTAGGCACAGCCTGAGGTGTTTTAGAAGCTCTAAAAAATATTTGCCTTCTAGCGTGCCAGACATAAGGTACAGGATAAATTATAAAGAAGCAAAAAAATACACTTGGGAATATGTCTTCTTGAAGAATTTTGATTAAATGGAGTCTTTCTCTCGAGCCTTGCAAAATTTTGTATTCATACTTACAGTACAGAGAAAAACTTGAAATACATCTTACCTGGAATAAGAAAAAAAATCTGATTGATAGGTTTAGTTGGGTAATAATGGGGCTTCTTTTTTGAAAAAAAAAGAAAAAATAGTGTAGTTTGCAGTTAACACCTCTGCTGTGCTGACAAATGTGTTAGAAAATAACCACAATGTATGGAACAAAATTATTATTTGATGAGAAAAATTCTTAATAAATAAAAATTAAAATATCCATGCAATGAGTTGAATATACTTTTAACATTTTAAAATACAATTAATTCCGCTTTACATTCCACTCCCTCCATCTCAAAATCAGTCCTTAATTTAACAGGTATATTGTCCATCATTTTCAAAAGGACTGAGGTAAAAATGATAAATTAGTTGCATAACTAGCAATTTTCATACATAGGAATTTATTCATATTAAAAGTCATGTGATGTGCGTGATGAAAATGGTCTGTACATATCTGTCAGAGTTTATGAGAAACAGACCTGTGAAGCCCCAGGAATAGCAATGAGCCTAAAAAAGCAGAAGGACCATCTTTATGCTGCTTGTGCTTATGTGTCCACACACCAGGAATTTGCTTCCTTTGGTGTGTAGTTTAAAGACCTGTGAGACACAGATATCCTTTCTTCCTTCCTGTCTCAGCTAGTCAATCTCCACTATTTATCTTTTTGTCTCTGAGTGCTGTATGAATGCAAATATGAATCAAGCCACTTAACCCTCTTATCAGAGCTGGAGCAGTATGCTCAGCAATAATAGGTTCTGCCCTAAAATCAAAAGCTCTTAACCGATCTCTGCAATGCTAACTCACTAATTTCTCTTGGTACCTTGCCAAATAAGCACCAATAATAAAATTTAAGAGGGGTTTGGAGAGTTAAGCTAGTGCTGCAAAACTCAAAGTAAAAAGGGGAAATTGCTGTCTGAAGGTTTTATTACTCTGGATTCTAACTACAGACAGTCCATCATAAATTTGGATAGTTAGAAATCAGAGCTAACCAACTGCTGTCCTACACAATCTGGTCTATTTCTGCAGTATCGCTTTTCAGAAGAAATTATATAGTAATACTGAAGTGATGGATCAAAATCTCTTTCCAGTGGCCTTTTTCTGATGGTTGGTTATCGGGATCTGTGTAGTAAATAAAATGCCTAAGAAGATCCTAATCCTAGACAGTATGACCTTGGTTTAAAATGTGAATCCTGACATTTTAGATTCTACCAAGATTCTTTACATTAATTATATAAATTTTTATCATATAAAGATGAATTCCCACTTTGAGGCTTTCTAAATTCTGAGCCTCTATCACTTATCCATGAGAGCACAGTGCTTTCATTTACTAGTATAAAATGGGAGAGTTGCAAATTTCATGGAACATCTTGAAGTTTAATAACATGTTCTCACTGATATAGCATAAAGGAGGGAAAATTTTAATTTTTCACTAGTTTAGATTTGTTTTGTATACTTTTACTGTAGCTCTTTGCAGAGGCAAAATTCAGGAGATAATTCTCTTCCATCTCTCTTATGATTTTTAATTGATGAGTTTTTACTGATTCCTAATTTTTTGTTATTTTCCTGTGTGAATTACTTCACTTTCAAAACGGAAGTAAATATACTAAAATGGTAAGTGTAGCATCAAGGTACCTTACTGTTGTTTTTAGGTATTTTTGCAAAGGGTCACAGGCTGTTTGTTTTATAATTTTGTTTCCTCTTTTTGTTTCATATTTTTATTTCCTCTTTTTGTTTCCTAGTCAGATTTTGATTCATGACAATGCTTTGTCTCCTAACCCTTGATTAATGTTCCTTAGTAACTTTTCCTGAAGGCCTTTGCGAAAGGTCTTTCAGAGGTTTAAATCTAGATACAGATTCTAAAACCAAAAATAGTGGCTATTTTAGTAGGAATTTCTTTGCAACTGAAGGCCTTCTTACATTAACTCATTAGGTACTCCTGGGAATTGTACAAGACACTATTAAAATAATTTTAATTAAATTAAAAATATTAACAGCTTAATTAATACATTAATATTAACAATTTTATATTGACATTTGGAAAGTAATAGGTGTAACTGGAATATCTTCTTAAAATTTTCAACGTAATTTTTCCAGTCTAGTTTTTTTCAGTTCTGTAATATTTGTCTGTTGAAATTGTAGAACATTAAGGTAATGCTTGTATACATGATTTCCAGGATACCTGCACTGACTTCTTCTTAGGTATTTTTCACTAGCTGCTTCACTGAAGCATGTCCATTTGATGTAGTCACCATAGCTTTTCTTTAGGAGCAGAAATAAGATTAATTTTTCCAAATACTTTGGATTTCTACTTTCAAATAAGAGGAGTAGAATAAATGAGTGAATAGAATTTCTTCTATATTAACAAGATGTGTAAAGTGACTGATTTAAAGGAAGCCATTATATTCTTCTTCGATACCCTGAGATTTTGAATCAAAATATTTTGTGGTAATTTCTATTTAGTTTCTTATTAGGTAATTTCTTGGATTAGTCTCAGTGTGCTATCATATATATACATAGAGATATATATTTATATATATATATGTATGTGTGTGTGTGTGTGTGCGTGTGTGTGTACATATATACACACATATACATAATTCATATCAGTAAACAATGAAGGCAATAGAAACTTTTCTCTACACTTTTTCTCACTATAGTATTTCACTGGTACATATGCAGATAGTACAAGTCCTCCCTTGCTATCACTTGTTGACATCTGTCCCACTTTGTCAGATACTGGATTTTCTGTTCAATCTCCTTACATCTTACTGTCTTTTGGATATGTACATTTTGCATGTACCTCAGACCTGCATTAGAAACAGTTTTTCTTTGTATTTATGAAGCATTTAGCACAATACAGACACTTGGCTACTGTCCTGCTGCCGGAGTTATGAGTGAGTGCAGAGTGGGTCTGCTGATAATGGAAGTGGAGCCAAACACTGATAAAGCCAGACTGTGTGAATATTCATTTTAAGTGCTTTTTTTTTGCCTTACAAATAGATATTATCATAATTATTTTTAATATCCATAAAAATAATAATTAATGTCTCCTAAGGACTTAGAATCTGATTTTTTAAAAAATTTGCTATAGATCTGTGAAACTAAAACAAGAAATGAATAACCGATTTTTTAAAATGTATTACTGTCAAACAAGTTTATATACTGCAGTGATAAGTTAGTTCAGCTGGATTTCTTAAAGTTGTTAGTAAATATTTTCTTCCTGTAAACCACAGAGAAATCAAGCTGACCATTACTTTGACCCCAGGAATCATGCTATGGCATATCTAGTAACATCTGTTGGAGTTTACTTTTGACTTGAAATAAAGCGGTAGTTGTCTTTTTTTTTCAAATGTACTGTATTTTTATAGTCTCTCTGAAGTGATCCATATTTTTAAATAATCAACCCATATTGTAGTTTTGACTGAAACAAAAAGTATCCTCAGAGATCATTTCATTTGATTGGAAGAAATGTTAGATGAGAAACATCCAAACAAACCATATCTATTCCATTCACCTGTACAAGAATAGCTCAGATTAACATAAATAAAATTAACAAAAACAGTACATGAAAAAAGTTAAAAATCAGTAAGAGTAGAGTTGTCATTAAAAATAAATTGTTGTTCAACCATTTTATAAAGTAAGCAATAGTAACCAGTCTTGATTGTTGATATTTGTGGCACTAAGTCCAGTATAGATGGGTAGAGTAATTAATGTTGTGTTTCTCTCTCATTCAAGAGAATAAATTGAGTTTGGAAGCTTTATTTTTAGAAGAATATATGAAGGAAAGGGTAGTATGGTTATAATCCAGGTGATTTAACAAAGTTATTTCAAATAGTTTTTGTCATTGATCATTCATAATGTAATAGTGATTTACTGCAGAGTTCTCCTTTATATATCATCCTTTGTAAAAGCTCTATTGCCAGGGTTAGGTAATAGCAGTCAATTTAAACCAGAGGGGGAAAAAATATATCTTCTTTTAGCTAAGATTTGAAATGAGGTTAACATGGAAATTTGACATCATGTTGTGGATGACTGCAGAGAGTTATGTCTTTACTTTGCCCGCTCCTGCAGATTTTTCAGGAAAGGTGAATGTAGGCTATTGTTCAATATAACACTGAAAGGTGCAACTACTCAGAAAGTGTAGATGACTAAGCAGGAGAATACAGACTCGTGTATTTTGTTCTGTTTGAGAAACATTTTTAGAAGACTTTAAGAGAACAAAAATACCAAATAGGTAAGTTGCCTAGATTTTGCAAAGCAAATAGGCTACTAGGTTTCAGTCTTTTATCTGTTTCTATGTTGTCAAGTCTGAGCAAAATACAAAACTAATGAGCAGGTCCTTAAATATCAAGATATTTTGTTTCAAAATAATGATATTTTCTGGATTTTTTTATTTTATTAGCCAGTCAGATGTTTGCTACATTTTTCAAGCATCAGCAGTAAAACCTTGATTTTTTTTTTTTTCAATAAGGAAAAAATAATGCAGATATCTTGAACAAAGTTTTAACAGCTAGAGTTTTAAAGATGAGAAATGTCCAGGGATTTTTAATCAGTTATGAGCATTAAGCACCTGCAGTCGCTAAGCACAATTCTAATAAAAATGAACATCATGTAAGCAGAGATAATAGAAGACAGTCTTCTGCAATGACCTGTAATTCCTGCCCTGATTCTCTGCTATTCCCAGTCTCCAGAGATGTAAAAAAAAATTATGCTCCAATTAGCCTTTTGAAAGGAAAACAGCAGTCACTTCTTCATAGACGTAAGTAAGAAGAAAGCCCTGCTGTGGAATTCATTTTGCTTTTTCTACCTTACAGCAGGGCATCAGAGTTTCTGGAGTGTTCCTTTTTACTTGGGTAATGTGCAATTTTTCTGTCCTTTTCTGCTGATTCAACAAAATTGTACTGTGAACCTAAGAACTGTGAAAGTGACCAAATATCTAGGTTTTAAAAATCACAGCATGTATGAAAATCACATTTACCACTACTTTGAAATTTCTCTGTCTTCAGATTAAACAGGAGACAATAGTATATGAAGACTTTATTTAAACATCTAGTCTAGCTAGCACTCTTACTTCGCTCAGACAGGCATACAGAAATGAAAGGAACATCATACCTAAAGCTACCTAAGGCACAGATCAACTCTTAGTGTTGTCTGTTTGTTGATACCCTTCATCCATAAAGCTGCTGTCATGTATACACAGAATTAGGATCTGGCTCATGAACTAAACCACCTCCCTAGTGTATCTGTTCACTAAAAGTATGTTCGTTTGAGAATATCTGTAATTTTATGGCCTTATGCTTGTATTTTTATTTGGATTAACCATCTCCCACTCAGGATTTTCTATGCACCATAGCTCAATCAGGCTACTAGTCTTTCCTGCTGTGTAACACCTAATTACCACCAAACGCTGAAAAACTTAATGGCTGTTGTACAGGGGTGGAGTCACACTCTCTACAGAAGGTGGACACAGCCTATTGCCATCTACTCTGATCTTGACCCAACAACATTAACAACTGACCAGCATACTTTTGGGTGAACACTTTCTTCTGGTGACAGGTGTTCTATGTCTTCCCAAATAACACTTTATGAACCGAAATCTATATTTTCTTTAGAGTTGTGTTTTAAAAACAATATTTTTCTAGAATGTAGACAAAAATAGGACGTGCATCTCATTCTTGCGTAGGTAGTCACACACTTCATCATGAGAATGGAATTAATCATTTAACTCAGCCATGACAGTAAACTTTTAAGAGTGTTCTAGAAGACAGACAATCTAGTTGAGATCTGATCTTGACACTGTTTAAATAAAAAACAACTTAAGCAAATATTGTTGCTTGACATAAGGCTTAATATTAAAAAGTTCAACTTTTCTGATATCAGACTATATGTGTCCCTGGCTATTCAATATTATGAGTTCTGATAAAGCCTATGGAAAAAAAATGAGCAAAAATATGATATAACAAAGAATCATGAGCTAATAGTCTTTCAGTTACAAGAAAAGAAAAAGGTAAACTTCTACAAAAAAAAAAAGAGTTGCCTCTCTTGAAGTTACTACTTAAATTTACAGTGAAAATCCTGTAGAAAACCAGGTGGCTTCTGAACCCCCTTTGCTGAAATGGAAAAATTCATGGAGAAGTCAGTAAAATAGACAAGGCCTGGGGTCAATACCAAAAGTATTGACATCAATGAGGTGTTTTGGGTATTTAAGATGCTGAAGAAACAGAACTTTTGAAATATTTTGTTGTAATAATTGTTTTCTTTCTTTTTTTTTTTTTTTTTTTTTTACTTGAAAAAGGGAGATACAGGAAAAAAATAGTCCTGTAGTAGTTTTGACTGACCATTAATTGCTATTTGATTCATTTAATGGCAGAACTCCAACCCATATATTCCTGTTTTTCCCAGACATTTTAATTGTATAAAATAATCTGAATTTATTTCCAAATGGCCCTGAAAGTGTTTAACCATATCCAAAACCCATCTGTTTAACAGAGGTTTCTTTTTCAAGTGATATATTAATTTCAAAGGTCACCCTGAAGTGCTCTACATAGTCACAACTGTGCAGGTAATAGCATTGTGATGCCTCTTCAAACAGAGCCATGTCAATTATTTATTCAATAATGGTGAACATGCTGTCATGTCTGCAAAATGTGCTGGGAGGACTCAGTAGTGATGGATCTTGTAGAAACGGTAAATGGCTGCAAGCCACTTTTGAATGCAATCAGTTGATAGCACATTTGATGCAATTGTGTTGGTTTAGAACACAAAAAGTTCTTCACAGTGTCCTGAAAGTTATCATCACTGAAGTGCATTTCTTTCTAATGCATTGAATTGGATAATTCAGTAACATACTTAAATTAGTACTTTCTTCTATATAAAGTCATTAAGCACCATTTTAAATAAAATGTCATGTATCTTCTGTGGGTTCATACCTCAGACATCTAAGTATAGCTCTTTTTTCTGGATTCCTGTTTATTGGTTACAGGTTCATATGTCTGTGGGGCAAACTATCTAGGCCAATTCCTATGTGAAGATTCCAGTGGAGTGCTCTTTAATCTCCTACAACTACTTTTATTTGGTGTAATTTAAATTTTAAATTTTATTTATTTTTATTTTGGTGTATTGTAAATTTTATAAGCTCTATCTAATACATATTAATAAATTTACAATGAGAGAGTACTACAGAAGGTAGAAAATCCAGAAAATTAAGAATAGGGCAAATTTGTCTAATGGAAACATTCTAGCCAGACAGAATGTTTAATCTTTGTAAATTTTATCCTATGGGGTAGCATTATCAAATAAGAAATTGATTTCTCAGCAAACAAAACTAAATTTTTCAGGTGGAACATCAACGAACTGGGAAGGAGGTATTCGTGTGCCAGGTCTTCTCCGTTGGCCTGGGGTGGTACAGGCTGGTGCCTATATTGATAAGCCAACGAGTAACATGGGTATATTTCCTACCATAGTTGGACTTGCAGATGCACAGTTACCCTCTGACAGGTATGCTCTGTAGTCATCTCTGTTTTAGACGAAGTGTCATGAGTGTTTTATTCATTCTGGTGATATCTATTAAGATAGAGGTGGGAATGTAAACAAGAAACTAGGTTTTATACTTGCAATATTATCTTGTCTCTTTTCATATTGACATACTGATAATATTTTACAGAAATGTTATATGTAAATACACCTTAACTCACAGAACAAGCACCAAGCACCAAAAAGATAACAGAATACCATCTGATCAATGTACTGTCAAATGAAACTTGGAATTACTTACTAAAGTAAAAATGAATGTATCAAAAAAGATTCTGTTCTTTAGGAGTGAATTTGGTGGAAAAAGAAACTAAAAGTGTAAATTACTTTAAACTTCATGAGCTTAGCTTGACCTGCTTAATATCACAAAACACATAAAAATGCCAGCTAGGCTTTTCTCACAGTTTTGTTTAGGGTTTTTTGTTTTGTTTGATCTTTTTTTTTCTCTATACCTAGTTAGTCAAAATAATTCCATACAGGGTTTTGCAGCCTGATAAGAAAAGCCACTGGACTTCACAATTTATAAGATGCTTTCCTGATGCTGCTACATCCCCAGGCTTTATCTTGTTTGTGAGATACACAGTCTCAGTGGCAAGGTGCCTCTGCCTAAATGCTGTTGTTATCCAAATCCAGTAAGTGGAGAAACCTGTTGATATGTGTATGCTTTGAACACATTGATCACTCACTCACAAACAGCTTTTGAGCACAAAGGTTCAAGAATCCACATAGGGAAGCCCAGTGGTGAGCAAAGTCACTCTGCTAATGATTATTCATTAAGTGTTTGAAGGAAATGGCAAGGCAGGACAAGTCTAAGACATGAAAAATTAGTCAGGTTGGTCCTGAGAGATGCTCTACAAGCAGTAATTATGTCAAACCTCAGAAGTTCTGATTGTTATTTATGTGGCAGATCTTTTGCATTTTGTTTTCTTATTGCTTGAGTGAATACTAAGTACTTATGTTTTCTTTGATCCCCTTCACAGAAATTCAAATATAGTTGTGTAACTTTCACTTGTAGGTTGCTCCACTGTGATTTTTCTGTGCTAGACTGATGCCATAAGTACTGCTTCATCTTAGATCATGGACTAGCTTGAAGTATTTTTGTTCCAGCAGCTGGGTTCTTATAGCTCCATTGAATTCTTCCTGAGAAATAAGAGAAATTAATGTAATTAATATTCTCTCACTGTGAGAGAGCAGGTTAAAAAGGAATGGAAGAGATGCTCCTAATTAAAGAAGAGAAATTAGTAACTGGAAAGAAAAGTCTCATATATTCCTCTGAATCCAGCAACTGTAGCAATGCTAGAGTACTGAAGACATTTTTATGGAGATGCCTTTTTCCCCATCAACAGGCTCCAGCACAGGGAGTGTTCAATAAACATGCATCTGTTAATGAACAAGCTTGCAAGACAAGAGCCTGTTACTTGGGAAAGAGAACATGAAAAACTGAAAGCTGAAAGACTCTGTTTTAACAGACCCCCACAGACAGGGATTCACCCATATGGCAGTTATCAGACAAGATAGCTTTCAAAATTCCAGGCAGTTTTCCTGCCAATCCTTTGAGAAAAGTGTTACTCTTAATGGCTTTGTTGCATACAGTTACTGACAAGAATTCAATCATCTCATGTGACTTAAAAAGTAAACTTAGTACTTGTCTTGTAGTATTTGCACTAACATGAAAAATGTTTTATGTAATGGTAATTGAATGAGCATGTATGTAAAGGTAATGAAAATCAACATAGACCTTTTAAAACTTTTTATAAGTCTCAAAAAAATTTTATGGGATGTTACTCAAAATGCTTGAGAAATAATTACTTGCTGATCTTTATGTCAGCAAAAAGTAATTTCTGATAAAACTTATTGAAAAATTTGTAATTCATACCAGGTCGAAAATGCAGACTATGATTTCTCCCCTGCCAGCTGATGTCAGCAATTCAAAGATTTAATTTAGGGAAACAGCTAAAGGTCTTGCTTATTTTATAACTCAGTTTTTATGTAAATTGACTGACTCCTTCAAAGCATGATCAAATTGTCCAGCAGCATTTAGAGAATTGATATGTATTCGTGTGTGTGTGTGCCTGTATGCCTCTATGCCTGTGTGTGTGTGTGTGTGTGTGTGTGTGTGTGTGTTTAGTTGATAAATGCATATTTAAACAGTTAATTTTTCAAATTTTATTTTACCATTTCTGTCTTAAATTCTGGTATGCATAATATGCTGAACAGAGATATTACCACTACTTCTGGGGATGCTAGCACAGAACAACATCTTTTCTCTAGTTTTACAGTTACTTTGTCCAGACTACTCCCAAAAACTTGAATAGGCATATGTGAAGAACTCTGTTGTAGCAATTTATTCACTTATGTCTGTGCACTTTCTCATAAGTGAAAAAAAAAGAGTTGAGGGAACTATTCATAATGGCAATATGTAAAATTGTTTCCTTAGGTAATGTAAAAATCAAAGGGAAGAGCACCTGAAGGTTTTCCTCTGAATTGACCAATTGGAGATGCCCATTCAGATTTGGGTTTTTTTAAGCAGCAGATAAGCAGAATTATCATATCTTCTAGGAAAGTGAGGTTTGAATTATTTTTCTGATTTTGAAATGCTTTCTTACTCAGGATTATTGATGGACATGATCTGCAACCTTTACTTCAAGGAAAAGTTACTCAATCTAAGCATGAATTTCTCTTCCATTACTGCAATGCATATTTAAATGCAGTGCGCTGGCATCCAGCAGGAAACAGTAAGTAAACTTGCCTGTTCACATTTTAAATATTTAATATAATTTTTATTGCAGCTTGAAAAGAACCAGGAGGAAGCCTTGGGCTATAGCGACAAAAAAGTTGTTTAAAATATCTAGCCTTTTTCCTTCTGTTTCACTTTTGTCTTTGCTGTTACATTCCTGCTCACCATTTCACTGTTTCACATTATTTTGTTTGTATTAATGTTAAATATGAATGCAATACTGAGATCTATGATATCTGAAAATGTCCTTTTTTTAAACCTTCATGAGAGAGAGTCTGTGCAGCAGAAGGAAGTTGTCAGGGTTGACTCTTACATTGTCCTAAAAATGCACTGGTAATAAGATGGTTTGCTGAATAACAGCACAAGTATGATGTCAGCCTGGCCATTTTTGTTAGTCAGATAGCAAAATGTAGAAGAATCCCTGAGTCAAAGTCACAATTATCCACTAAATGAATATAGTATTACAGAGTCCCTTTTTATGCTTTTTATGAATGACATAATTCTACTTTGTAGGCCAAGGGAAAAAGCATTTCTCACTGATTTGTTCTTTTTTAACAGCTCACTGTTTCTAGTAGCACCTTCCACATTAACCAAGGCATATTTCCCTTTCTATAAAAATCTCTGTGCTGAATGAAGTTAAACACACATTTTGTCCCATCTCAGTTGACTTTGAAAATGATGACTTGTGTTACAGCTTCAAAATAATGATCCTAAACAATAAATAAGCTTTGGCTTATTTAAGTGTTGTGGGTAAGGACTTGTTTAATAGCTAATATGCAAACTTAAAGATTTGGAAACTCTGTCTTCTTGGTCATCTGTAGGCTGACTCTCTACCTGTCTTGGACTTTAAACTAGGAAAAGGGAAAATATTACCTATTATATTTATGTACCATTACTGTGCCTCTGTGTTTGATAAATAATCATAAGAAAGAACCAAGCAATCAGATCTATAACCATTTTGTATCTGGTGTTGGATGGAGTTATTCTGCATCATAATGAGAGAAAAGTGTGCCGAGAAGCTGTTTTTCTCAAACATATACCTTTGCAAGATTATATAACCCTTTATTTTTCACAGAAGGGGAATGTGATGGGAAATGATTGTGAGCAACAGTGGGGGACTAGTCTACTAGTCTAGTATTTACTTGATGAGCAGCAGCAATGTAGAGTGTGATTCATCCTTTCTCCAAGGCATTCAAATGATAAAGCCCACTCAGAACCTGGCAATAACATTTTCATGACAACGAGCTGGCTTTTGTACAGAAGGTTGCTGTGGTTTAATTCCAGACAGCAACTAAGCCTAACAGAGCCACTGTGTGTCTCTTTCTGGGATGGGGAAGAGAACTGGAAGGGTAGAAGTGAGAAAACTCATTAGCTGAGATAAAGACATTTTAATAGATAAAGCAAAAGACACACATGTCAGCAAAGCAAAACTAAAAATTCATTCATTATTTCCCATTAACAGGCAGATGTTCAGCCATCTCCAGGAAAGCTGGGCTCCATCACACATAGTGGTGACTTGAGAAATCAAATATCATCACTGAATGTCTTCCCTTTCTTCTTATTTCTGCAACTTTCTATGCTGAACATGATGTCATTTGGTCTAGGATATGCCTTGGGTCAGTTGGGGTCGGCTGTCCCAGCAGAGCTGCCCCCAAGTGCTCCTTGTGCACCCCCAGCCTGCTCACTGGTGTGGTGGGGGAGAGGCAGCACAGCCTTGTCTTCTCAGTAATAAATAAAATCCCTGTTACCAACAGTGTTTTCACAACAATTGCAAAACACAACCCCATATTAGCTACTGTGAAGAAAATTGTCTTTATTCCAGACAACACAAGCACAAAGATTTTTGATATTCTGCCTTATCAGCTTACACTATAGTGAGAGTAGACAATAGCCAGGTATTCCTCTCTACCATCTTAGGTACCAGTCCTCTGTGAGGGCTTCACACCATGTTCATTGTCTTCTGCACTTCTCTGGTAATGGGCCCCAACCCAAATGTCCAACTAGACTGCTCATTCCTTCATTAAATATGTAATTTCTATTAATTTCAAAGATGCACTTTTTAAAGAACAACGCAACAACAGCTTAGAAGAAAAAGCTTACAACAGCTAAGGAAAATGTGATGTATGTATTGATTAAGGTACAAGATAGTGGTACATATACTGTGTATATGCACTTATTAATGCATCTATCATGAGATTTCATGCTATATTTATTTTCTGGGGAGTCTTAGTTTGCATATCAGGGACAGCTTGCATATAACACTGTTTTTTCTAGATGCTGAAAGTGTAAGTATTAGCTTTAATCCTCAGGAAATACTCAGCTAAATTCTGCTTAACTATTTGGTTCCTTTTTAACTCCGTCACCCCACATTTCCCTTAGTAACTCCATCTTTGTCACTATTAGATTTTCACTGTGCTTCAGTCGAGACCCAGGTTTTTTTTGGTTTAATTTTTGACTTTTACATATATATATATATATATATATATGAAATAGGCAAATGTAGTGTACATTAATTTTTTACTAGCTGCACATCTTTCCCTTGCTTGCAAGAGTCTAGTCTAACTTAAGCAAGCATGTTTCTCTCATCATTGAGGGAAGGTCAGAAACTTCAGAGTGAACAATTACCATTTTGCATTTATATATTTAGAGGCTAAGAGTTCCTCATAACCAAATCAATACACATCTTCATTAAGTTATATTAGTTAGGTCAGTTATTGCATTCACAATGTACTTTCCCCTTGATCAGTCCTTTGAAGGAGCTTTTAGAGGATGTGTGCTATGCAGTGATCTTCTCTAACAAGTCTGCAGAATTTAAACCTTGTGCTTTTTAGAGAGTCGTGTGGAAAATAATCTCTTGGGGTTTTTTTTCTCTTTTCTTTGTCTTTATCAGCCACAGAAATAAGCTAACACAATTTTTTCTTCATGTCACTTTGACTCACATTTCATCTCATGCTGGAATATAATGCACATAATTCTTCACATTCTGAATTTTAAAAAATGAATGAAATATCAGGCAATTTTCTTTTGCTCTCACAGACTTGTGCATGCTGATGCTTCACAGAATCACAGAGTTACAGAATAAGTTGAATTGGAAAGGACTCACAAGTATCGAGTCTAACTTGTAATTTTCTTGGAAGCAGACAAGATATATAGTACTAGTTCTTGAAGGATGATTTCCTGTTATTTTAAAACCTTATAAATACTTGTAATTTAATATATCTGTTAAAAAAACAAAGAGGAAGACATTTAAAAAAGTAAAGTGGTTTCCCATTATCCGTACTTCTCCACAGCTGCTTGGTATATCATAGAAATATGATAATAATAGAAATATACCAATATATGAAAACAACACCTTTAAAAAAAACCCCACTGCATTTTCTTTCTTCCTAGTAGGGTGTAATAACCTTGTTTTTTTAAAGCATTGAGTAATTTTTTTAGTCATTAATCATTAAGCATTTATATTGAAAATAAAGCAGATGTAGGATCTGCCTTTACTTTCTTCAGCTGAGCCACCCTAAGTTTTGTGTTGCTTTCTGTGATGTATGCCAGATGGATGCTTTGGCCTGTTTTAAGGCTGATCACATGTTCTTCTGCTTGAGCAAGTTGACCAGTACTTTTGTATTTGCTAACTTTATAATTTAGCATAACTGAGTACTAAAAAACTACCAAGAGCTCTGTCTCCAGAATATTACTGGCATAGGAATCAGTACTACTAAAAATGCATTGCTATGACAACTTAATTATAAGGGGAGGATTAATCAGATACACAGCAAATCTACAGTTGAATGAAACGTCATCTTTCAGGTTGCACTGCTTCTGTGCAAAATTTTAATTTGATAAGGAGGAAATATATTGTAATACTGTGTAATAAATATTGAGAAATATAATGCAATACAGTCTGCATTATAAAGAAATAATGATCTTCACAGTATTTTCATACTACTGATAAAAATATACTAATGTTTCTGATGACTGCTAGAGTGACTTTACTAGCAGCACTTCACTTTTTCTATTTCAAAATGGATTTAGCTATTCAGTGGAATATGTCATTCAGAAAACAAAAGACAAGGAGATTTTCTATGGGAAGTTCAATTGAAGCAGACTACACTGCAACACCAAACTAGCTTATTGTGCAAATATAATGACTTTTAAAGACAGTAGAAATTCGCTGAAAAGCTTTATATGGAAATTAACAAACAAGATACATTTCAATTAGTGTTCATATTGATTTTCTTGAATGTTGTGAACTACTTCAATTACTGAAATTATTTCAGTCAAATTCATCAATGAGGGATTCTCTCTGTAATATGACAGAATTCAAAGCTATTCTGATTATTGGCTGTTGCAATGTTCTCCAGCATCCAACAGTATTTCATGAGATGTATTTTGTTCTATGGCTAGGGGTTATAGGCCCTTCCTAGTCGTGAATTTAGCCTTTTTCTACATTTTCAGCTGTAAAAATTGAAGGTGAAAAACAAATAAAAAGTAAGTTAGAGAAATATTTTGGTTTGCAGTTTTCAGACTGAATATATAGGATAAATTTACCAGAAAAGTGTTTTGGGTTTTTAAAGAGGTTCCTCCAGATTTAGTTTGACTAAAGACATTGGAATCATAATAAAGAGAGGACAAAGCATGAAAAATCTGCTCAGAAGGGTCATTTTGTAACAGTTTCTGGTTTAGACAAGTGCAACCTTTCTTGTGAAATTGAGTTAACATAAGACCTGTTTCTGAAGAAATTAAACATGAGGAATATCTTCCACTTTTCCTTACCTCTCAAAAGCCCAATGTTATTCATGCCTTAAAGGGTAGTAAGGGTTACCTTATAAATTAAGGGGGCTTGCATTATTTATGGTGCCATTCTTAGCTTAATTTTTTGCAATATCACATTCAGTGTTAATAGTTAAAAACTGTGAAATGAATTCATATGCTTAAAACACTGGCTGGTGAGCACAATATTATAATCAGAGGAAAAACACAGGAGTTGGAGTTTAGACAAGT